CTTTAACTTCACAAAGTAGTAGAACGACTCTGATTTCCAGCTAGAATCGAAGAAGAAGACTCGGCGGCTGCGAAAAAAAAGTATAAGTAGAACATATAAGGGTATGCAATTACGGAGGCAAATCCACTATTTTCATTAACCCCCAATTTGGGGTGCAAATGAAGAGAGAAAGAGTGGAAGGATGAATAAAAGATAATATATATATATATTGTTATGTTTTGTATGTATGATTATATTTTATTATTTTTGTGACTAAAATTGTCATGTAATCATTATTCTACAATCATTATTTTACAATAATACTTATTATTATTATACTAAGAATAATTATTATTATGGTTAAATAATAATTATTATGATTTTTACATTGATTCCAGGAGACATCATTTGATATACAATGAAAAAGTTTGTCAAATTGCCTTCAACTGTTTGACTCGGTCAAACAAGTGAGTCAAGATTCGTCAATTCGAATCGAGATAGGATGGTCATTTATGGTTAAAATAGTCCATTTCACTCCGATTTAACCATCATTTTGATAAATCAATGCCCGGTGGGAGACATGAGCTAGTTATATGTCTTGGCTACGGATTGAGCTTCAAATATAGTCATTCGAGGTCGCTCAACCAATTATTATTATTATGGACCGAACAATTTTATTTATGAATATTTATAATTGATTAATACTTGAGCATTAATATTTTGATATTATTTTATTAAATTATATTTTTTAGTATTTATAATATATATTTTTGATAATGGTGAAATTAATATTTATAAATATTATTATTTTGTATTTATTTATGTGTGAATAATTTATAACAATCTTTTACAAATTTGATATATCTATTTTATAATAATATAATTTACTTACTTTTCACTAATTTGCACCCCCTACTTTTTACACCCAAATAACAATTTACTCCATCCATTTACACCCCACAACAACTTGCACCCCCAACAATTTACCCCTCAACTTGCACCCCCCTCAAATTTGCACCCTCCTAGTTGCCAAACACAATGTTAAACTTTGGTGAGGTCGATTTGAGAAAGCATCACTCGGACATTGCTCCAACAAGTCTCGTGTGAAGATACATCGAATGGAACTCTAGTGTGATAGGTATAATCATACAGCGTGAGGAGTTTGAAATTAGCTAGGTAATCCTAACCCTCTCAATTGATTGATTAAGGATTATCACTATTAGATAGGGAACCCCTCGACCTCTTAATCGATCAAACAAGGTTCGGAAAACAAATCCCTCGAACGTTAATCCGAAAAAGCAAAAAGTAACCAATCAAGATGATATCATGGCACTACTTCGATGAATGAGATTTGCTCGAATTTCCCTCGGGAAGGTTACCCAAATTGCCAAAATTGGGTACAAGGGGATTTCCTTCTTCAAAGTCAATTGTCCCAAAATTGATTTATGAACAATCAACGCCCAAATTCCATGAATAATACCTCAACCATTATATAAATTGCAAACCCAACACACATACAGTTCAATTCCTACCATCTATCACATTGTAGACTAGGGATCACAACATTCAAGTGAAATTGGATACTACTCCATAGCTAGAGGAGCAAATACAAATAAGATAGAAGAAATCAACCTTCCTTAGCCTTGGGTAGGTGAAGATCTCTTCCTTCTTCTTTAGCTTGTAGTTCTCTCTCTAAACCATGAAGAAGAAGCTCTAATCTCTCTCTAGGAATCTCTCCTTTAAATTCAGCTAACTCTCTCATTATAGTCCCCGAGTGCAGGAATCACCGTCTGCGATTACGCTCGTTAAGTCGACAGGGTAACCGTGATCTCAACACAAAATGCACTGTATCACTTACGATCTTCAATGGCCGCTTGTTGACATCACGGTTTGAGACCGTGATCCTCACATTGCCCGCGAGCTTTAGAGATCTCCCTGGAACCGTGCAAACTTCACGGTTTGGGTGTCATCTACACGGTCTGCGCTCGTGATAAATCCTTCAAAACTGTGATCAGGGGCGGAAATTTTGTGAGATATCCATGTTTCGTTGGTACAAAAAACTTGAATTCGGGATTTCTGACACACCTCACATAATTGCAATCGACACACCTTTAATACACTACATTGATTTTGATGTCATATAGCAATAGGTACCAAAATACACAACTATATATTATTTATTTTAATTTTTAGTGAAAATGTCGAGAGAAAAAAAATCCACAACCCATGGCTCACAGTTCTCTGTCCTCTGATCCACTCTCTAATTGCTAGCACCTGCCGGTGGAACCACATCATCTTTCAAACTTTTACGTTAACACCTGTCGCCAGCGTTCCTGCTTTCCATTTTATGCTATGGAGTTAATCAAGAGCGAACTTCAAAATCAGTTTTATGAATGAATTTTTACTTTTGTACGTCGAAAAAAGTTTGATCGCACCATAAGCAAAATTTTTTTGTCGTGTGTCACTGTGAAAAATAATAAATTACGACCCTAATGAATTAATATTTTATTTTACTTTTTTTAATACATTAAATTTATTAATTATTTTTTATCTACCGACACACCTATCAAAGAATTTTGGGTCCGCCACTGACTGTGATCTCTCCATATTTTCCCATTTTGCTCCATTCTCGCACTCTTCGTCTGACTTTCGATCCCAGTGCCAAGATTACCTGCTTAGGTCGGAAATATGACACAACACGAACACACTTAGGGTAGAATAGCTCATAGGATCGAGGAAACCAAGCGAAATGACACAAGTAACGGGGTGTAAAAGTGTAATATAACCCGAATAAATGTCATTCTGTTAGATTTTCTATCCAAAATAGTTAAATTCGGTCAAAGTAAATCATGATTTTAGCAATATGAAATGACTAAATTATCCCTAATTATTTATAAGAAATTTATAATTAGAAAGGCACTTATCTGCATTGCCATTCGCCTATATACTTTTATAAGGACCCCTAATTTCTTCCCCGGTTGTTCATAAAAAGAATTTCTTCTCCAAATCACCATCATCCAATCAAAAGCCTTTATTGCATTGTGTTCCTCTCCTTCGTCCAAACTACCCAAACAATCATCCACTTCAACCGCCCTTGTCGATTCGCTCACACGTGCATGAATTCACGCATAGGTTCTCTCGAACTCAAAGATAAATCAACTACGAAGAACTAATACAACATAGTAAATCTACAACTAATTTTTACTAAATTACTTGACTTCTCATTCGAACTAAAAACGTAAAGCAAAGAAACATATTTATAAGACTAATTCCACAAACCCTTTCCCTCTAAGACAAGGTAAACAAATTCTAAACCAATAAATAAACGATAAATTTGTCTTGCCTTCCTAAGCTCAGTACCAATAATTACTCAACAAGACCCAACCTCGACATCGGTAGGCTTTCACACCACCAGTGGCTAATCTTGTCACTAATACTCTCCAAAGCACATCAACTCAGGCTGCTACCATGTAGTGTCTGTTTTAAATTTTTTTTATTCATATAAAACCATTGAACATATGCATGTTTCACTTCCAAATGGTAGTAAAGTTAAAGTTACACAAATAGGCACTATCAAGGTAACCCCAACTTTAACTATATAGTTCTTTTTATCCCAGCGTTTACTTTTAGTATGATCTCTGTGTCTAAGCCCATTTCAGGTTGATATGAAGAAACGCCGGTTGACTTTTGATTGGAAGGGGAGGATTTTGAATGACGCTATCTTATCCCTTGAGACCATACCCAATCCTAGTACTACCCTTGTCGTCCTCCACCCTCTTCTATCCCAGATCTCTAATGTTTTTGGTACGCTCACTTCCTTACCCCTTCCTGAGTTTGATCAGTCTATTCCCTTACTGCCAAACAACTAACCAATTAACATTCACCCATACCGTTTCCCTCACCATTAGAAGGCTGTAGTGGAGAAATTGGTAGCTGAAATGCGGCAGCTCGAGTTCATCAAAAAGAGTCACAGTCCATATGCCTCTCATGTCCTCCTTATTGGAAAGAAGGATGGCACTTGGCAGTTTTGTTTCGATTATAGAGAATTAAATTCTGTCACCATCAAAGACAAATTCTCTATCTCGCATTTGAAGTTCTTCTTGATGAATTACATGCTGTTGTCGTTTTTTCAAAGTTGGAACTCGGGGTAGGGTATCACCAGATCAAAATGCACCCAGATGATCAGTTTAAGACTGCTTTTCGAACTCATCAAGGCCATTAAGAGTTCAAATTCATGCCCTTCGAGTTAACTAATGCTCCTGCAACTTTTCAAACACCTATGAACCATGTTTTTGGCAAGTATTTGAGGCAGTTCATCTTCGTCTTTCTGATGACATTTTAGTCTACAATCAGTCTACCACAACTCACTTACAACATCTCTCTATTGCTTTGCAAATATTGAGGGACCATCAGTTGTTTGCGAAGGAATCAAAGTGTTCATTTGGTCAGTCTAAGGTGAAATACTTAGGACATATTATCAACAAGGAAGGTGTTTCCATAAACCAATTTATAGTTGAAGCAATGCAGAATTGGCCAAGACCTAAGCCAGGTAAGGTTTTGAGGGGGTTTCTAGATTTAACGGGTTACTATAAAAAAAATTGTAAGGAACTATGACATCATCAGTCGGCCTTTGAATTAACTCTTAATAAAGGACGAGTTTCAGTGGAACTCTGCAGCTGAGGAAGATTTTGTCGCATTGAAGTCAGCCATGAGTGAGCCCCTCCTGTCCTAGCTCTTCCAGAATTTACATTAACATTTACATTGGAAACAAATGCTTGTGGTACAGGGGTGGGGCCCGTGTTGTCTCAATGTGGAAGGCCTCTGGTTTATTTCAATCAGGCTTTGGGTATAAGGAATCTGGTTTGAGCACCTATGAAAATGAGTACTTGGCGGTGTTGATGGAGATTGATCACTGACGACATTATCTTGAAAGAAGGAAATTTACTATTATTACAGACCATGAGATTTTGAAATTTTTACTCGGACAGAATATACATACTGCTATACAAAAGAATGGTAGATATAATGGAGCTGTTGATACCTTGTCTCGAGTATTTGAAGATGAGTTGGAGATGGGGGTGCAATCTATGACTAACGTCGTTCAAGAATGGTTTGTGGAGATTAAGCATATCTATGTCAATGATTCAGAGGTGGCAGACTTGATAGCAGCTGATGCAGTTAACTCACTTGGACCTTCATTTTGGTAATTTTCAACTCGTGTTCTCATATACAAAGGTGTGATTGTTGTTGGTTCTTCATGGTCCATGGGAACCAAATTACTTCATTTGTTCCGTTCTTCTCCAGTAGGTGGTTATTCGGGTGCACAAGTTACTTTCCAGTGTCTCAGGGCTCATTTCTACTGACGTGGTATGCAATCGATAATCAAGAAATGGGTTTCAAAGTGTGATGTGTTCCACCAATGTGAAGCTGAAACTATAGCTTGTCCTAGCCTTCTGCAACCTCTTTCTATTCCTACAAGTGCCCGAAAAGTTATTAGTATGGACTTCGTCGAAGGCTTGCCTCAGTCGCAAGGGAAACAAGTTCTGTTGGTTGTGGTGGATAGGTTCACAAAGTGTGCGCGTTTCTTTGGCTTAAAACACCCCTACACTACTAGTGAAGTGGCTCAGGTGTTCTTCAATGGTTTTTTTAAACATCATGGGATGTCTTCTACTATTGTGTGCAATAAAGATTCAACCTTTACAAGCAGCTTTTTGATTGAGTTCTTCATGTTGCAACAGGCAGATATACATTACTTGATAGCTTACCATCCACAAAACGATTTCCAAACGGAAAGAGTCAATAGGTGCCTCGAGGATTACATGCGTTGCATCACTTTCCATCGTCCTCACGATTGCTTTATGTGGCTTACACGAGCTGAGTTATGTTATAACACCCATATCCATCTCAGTTTGTGGATGTTTACTTTTGAAGCCTTATATAGGTTTCCTTACACGTTTTTTTGGGCTAGCTCACAAACTTACTACCTCGGTAGGTGATGTCAAAGATAGTGTGGTGAAATAGCAACAACTAGTTCAATTTATGATCCACAACATCACAATGGCTCATAATAGACAAAAGCAGTATGGATATCAAAGGCGATCCGACAGGGTTTTGCGGGTTGGTGATTGGGTTTATCCTTGCCTGCGACCACATCACCTGGGGTCAGTGGTGGGACGCCATTGAAACAAACTCAGAGCTCGTTACTTTGGTCCTTTTAAATCTTGGCTAGGAGATTCGTGGAGCAAGCAAACCAGGCCGTTACGCATGTCTTGGTGCACTAAACTCATCAGACACTAGAGGAGGCTACTTGGGAAGATATGCAAATCTTCAAAGTGAAGTTTCCCACTTTTTCATCTTGAGTTGGCTCAACTTGAGGACAAGATGCATCTGAAGTAGACGGGTTTGTAACAAATCAAGCCAACTGTCATACCAGCTATTAACCAAGTTGTTGAAGTATGAGATAATGGACCAATGTATAAATAGTGTATACCACAGATGATTGGGCAACTTTTGACGAATGATGAAGCAAATAACTATTTTCCCTTTTCTGTAATAGCTTTAGCTCTATAGAAACCAGAACCCTTTTCTTTCCCTCTATTCTTCTCCATTCTTCATCTCTTTCGCCAGATTCTACAATAAATATCCTTTCAATTAGGTGCAAGTTGTTGGATAATCGGAGGCGGAGGTGAGAAAGTCGCATGGATTTTTCTCTTTCCCGGGTAAGCAACGGTAGAGAGAATCATTCGATGGATTCTCTTTCCCAATGCAATTAAGTCGCATTTTTTAAATACATAAAACTGGTGACATGACATTATAGGAGTGGCTGAGACTACCACATCATCAACATTAATTTATATCTTGAGCATTTTCTATCCACTTCTTTTATGTTAGGCGTTTTTTTTTTTTTGGTTTGCTTAATTAGTTTGATTGTTAGAAGAAATTGAGAAACTATTAGAAAGAAAAAAGAGTGTCTGTAGCAAAAGTGTGATGAAGCTACAGGTGAGCTGCAGATTGTTCATGCATGGTATTGCTAAACCTATGTCCAAGTTCAAAATGCAAAGAGCACATATTAAAACCAATCATGCCATGGAAGAAAGCACACACATTTGCGGTGAATAAAGGATTTGCAGTTCGCATGACGCAGTCATATATATATACTAATTCCTCAAATAGCACTAGCTTCTACATCTTCTCTCACTCGTCAATACCAGTAAGCAAATAGAGCTTCCCACAGCAGAAAAAAGAAGAAGAAAGAAAACACTTCCACTCAGCATCAAATGTCTGCTCTGGTTGTGATCTCGGGCGGGCTCGTGGAGGCGCAGTACGAGTTCCCGCCGCTGTCCACGGTGAGAGATGCCAAGGCCCAGATCCAGTCCGACTACGCGGTCCCCATCCGCCGCCAGATCCTTCGCCGCCGAGGCCCAAACAATTCACCCGTGGGCCCGGAGATACTGGTGGACGCCCGCGCGCTTGAGTCGTACGGGATTGGGCCCAACGGATGGGCCCGGCTGGACCTGGAGGTGGTGATGGACCGACTGGTGTCCGTGCTGGTGGTGGTGACGTCGCTGCAGCTGCCGGGGTGGCAGGAGGAGATCCGGTGCCGGGAGACTGAGACGGTTTTGGATTTCAAGGAGCAGATCGCCTACAAGCTGGGGTGGGGCTCGCCGGCGGAGATGGTGTTGCGCCACCGGAGGACGGTGATGAGCTTGGACAATGCTGCCGTGATCCAGTACCTGGTCACCGACGGGAGCCGGCTCACCGTTGAGTTCCCCAAGATGCCCGCTCCCCGCCCCCGTTTATGATTAGCTCGAGTCTCCGATCCGGCGGTTTGTCTTCGTTTGATTAGTAGTAGTAGTAGTACGTACCGAGGATGAGATGTTAGAGAGCAAGAGTAATCAAGTGGCCCCAAATTGAAGGTTATTTCTATTATTATTCTATGATGATTATCCAGTAAGTAGATTAATTGTCTCTATAAATTTAAAATTGCATTATCAGAGGGATTATGCTGTTGATTTTTTCTCTTCTTACAATTAAGAGGATTACCGAATTCGTATTGATTCTTGACTGTTGACTTTTGATCCGTGGATTGGGAAAATACTAGTATTTCGGGTGTTCATAGGCTTGGAACAGAGTTATGCGGGCGGGCCTATATGCAACTGAACAAAACCAAGTTAAATAATGCTCAAATAATGATCCAATTATTCTGCGGGTTACTTAGAAGCTCTAATTTAGAACCAACGGAGAGGCTTCCTGTTTGCTACTCTCTTGCCCCTAACCACGAAACTGAATCACTGATTTTGTAAGACTGTGCATAGTGAAGGCAAGTGGCAACTTTATGCCAAACTTAATGTAGCTCAAAAGCTATCAGTGACAAACAGTAAAGGAAAGCGAGAGACGATATAAAAGTGTTTTGATCTTCTTTCAATAGGATAGTTCAAGTGTTTGGATCTGGGCTTAAGTATGTCAACACGACCTAGTGGAAGTGATTTGGGCTTGATCTTCTTTCAACAAGACAGTTCAAGTGTTTGGATCTGGGCTTAAGCATGTCAACGACCTAGTGGAAGTGATTCGGGCTTGAGAGACTGTATCAACCTCTAGCCTTGGCTATTCTGTCTACCACAAAACAAAGTACATATAGTAAGCAAATGTAAGAGATTGAACATAGACACATGGTTATTTCTTAACTGAGTTCAGCTTATTTCTTACGATCTCGGCTCCAAAGATGTCTCACCCTTTGAGAAATAGCTGTCTAGGTTCTATCTTATTCATGTTTAATTAATACCAACCAAACTCGAAGTTAGAAAATTCATTGTCAAATCCAACAAAAAATACCAGACATTTATAAAATCATCTAATACAACACTTCAATCTTCAAATTCAGCGTTCTCTCTTTCTTATGGTGCATTTTGTTTGCCTTTCTTGTACTCGAGTGTGAGAGTTCTAAGTTTAGGTGCACGTTTTTTTGCTTCTTTATGCCTCAACATGTTCATAGGATGTCGTACAAAAAACAAAGCCAGATCCATTCGCCTCACCGGGACACATGGTTGTAGGAACATCAAACAATTCATATTAAGTCCGCTTAAACAATACAATGAAGATTTAATTCTACAAACTGCTATCGTTGCTTGCTTCGAATAAAAAGATTAGCGAACGACTCACCCATATAAAAAAGGAAAGAAGAAAATCATCGAATAAGAAGGTTGTCGTTACCCTGTATTATCAGGGCAGGGTGAAAAAGGGAAGAAAATCATACGTTATTTTGTTGACTCGCTTTCTCATCAGGTTGTATCACAATCTGTACAACGACCCAGTTGCCATTTACACAGATCAGGACAATTCAGAGGTAGGGGATCTAAATCTTCAAGGTTGTACCAACGGAATAAGTTGGGGTGTAGGTTTTGGGTCTTCCATTCCGCTCTTTTCATCGAGTGGTTTGGTTTTACAGCTTCCGTGTTTTTGTTTGCCTCATAGATAAAACAATTAACAGGAATCTCCTAGAATCAGTGGGTACTACTGGTTCTCGAACGTGGAATAGCCATTATTGGTGAACCACGTTAAAAACGTTAAAAACATCGTGTTTCATTTTCATTTCCTGCATTTCCTTAGCTGCTTGTTGGGACAAGTTACGGTGATTACTATAAAATAGTAATCACCGTGGTTACTAAGGGCAAATTGGGTATCACAAAAAAGTTATTAATTATCTTTTTTAACAAATTAAATTTTAGATTATTACAAAAATATATTAATTACAATTTTCTCTCTCTTTCTCTCACTACTACAATCTCCAGTCAGATCTCTCTTCCTTCTTTTCTAGATTTCATCGTTTTTGTTCAGCCGAACTAATACCGCTGCAACAATAAAATAATACCAATCCATTATAAAAACACTTCCAATGCACTAAACACCAATACCATTAGAGAAATAAAAACACTACCATTTCACAAAACACCAATATCATTGCAGATTTAATCAATATCAATACATGCAAATCAATACCATTACATGATAATCAATACCAATGCAAAATAAAAGAGAGAAAACAATACCAATGCGAAAAACACTACCACTACATAAAAAGAACACTACCATTTCATAAAAAAGCAATACGCTTACATGATAATCAATACCATACAGAAAAACAATACCTAAGTGAAAAAACAATATCACGACGGAAAAATCACTACCAATGCGAAAAAATCAGATCTAGGTTTTTTATTCATCCCACCTTTTCCAGCCACAAACGTCTCCCAGAGAGAGAGAGGGAGAGAGAGAGAGAGAGAGAGGGTGCCCACAACGGTGGGCGAGGGTAGCCAGAGTGGAGAATGGTCGCCGAAAGTGGGAGGTTGGTCGAGGGTGGCCGCCAGGGAAGGAAGGAAACCACCAACAGGAGAGGTGTTGACGGCGATAGAGAATGGGGTTGGAGTAGGGTTTAGGTATATAATATATAAAACTTAATTTTTTAAAGGATAAAAATCTGGTGTGATATTTTTTTTTATTCTCAAAATTACCCTTAATCTAATCTTCATCGTCAAATTAAAATTAAGATAAAATAGAGATAATAAGGGTGTAGATTTTGGTAGCCAGCGTGATTACTCAATTTTGAGTAATCACCCTACGTGTTTCAGTGCTCGTCCGATACTAATTCAAATCTATCGCTTAATGTTGGCAAGCATAACTTTCATGTAGTGGCAACTACGAGTTTTAGGTTTTTATTTTTTTTATTTCGGGTTCGGTTATCCAAACCGAACCGAATCGACGTACACCTCTATTCCAAATTCAAGTATTTTGGATTTTTTTTTAAGTGTTGTATTGTGAGAATTAATTTTATTAAATTCCCGTGTTTTGGAAATTTTACCTAAAAAAAATACCAGATTCAAAACTCTACTATTTTCTCTACAGCTTGCCACGTACCGCTGGTCCGCTGCAGAATAACAATGTATATAGCATGCATGAATGCAAATCGCACGCGCCTGATCTCATCACTACAATCTCATTGATTCCACTTTCAGTTAGACAATACGATTCAGCACTCACCAACTTAACCATGCATTCTTGTAGTTTCCATGACTTCTAGTTCACCGTATATATATATGTCCACCTCCCTCGCCGCAAATCAACACAGAAAAAGAATATGGCGGCAGCTACGGCGGGCTTGGACATATTGGGGACCCAGATGCCACTGCACTACGACTTCCACGTCACCGCCACGGTGAGCCAGGTGAAGCAAACGATCTACCTCCGCCACGGCCTGCCCATCTTCCGGCAGACGCTCCGACTGCTCCCCGCCGGAAGGATCTTGCACGACGACGACACGCTGGCATCCTACGGCATCGCCGAGGGCATGAACGTGCAGCTGCTGCTTCACGTGTCGCGGGGCCAGGGCTCGGACGTCCCCATCCACGTGGACTTGCGGTCCCCACAGTTCCCCAAGTGGCAGGCCACGGTCCGCTGCAGAGAGACTAGCACGCTGGCCGAGTTCAAGAACCTGGCAGCCGAGGAACTGCGCTGGGCCGGGCCGGAGGGGATGGAGTTGCATAGAGGGCCGCACGTGGGCCGTCTGGATCGGGAGGAGAATTTGGGCAGGCCCATTTGGGAGTACTTGATTATGGATCGGACCGTTGTTTGGGTCAAGTTCACGTTCAATGTTCCCCAGAATGGTACGCGGGCACCCTAACCGCAGCCATCGTGATATGAGTTTATAGAGATACATAGATGCAGGATTAATGCATGGTGACGATGGTTAGGTTATTGGTTTCCTTGGAGCTGGCTGGCTACTACTACTGAATGTTGTTATGGACTTACGGTTGGTATTGTAATATGGAGTAGTTGTTGCTCTGTTGTTATGGACTTACGGTTAGATTAATTTATTATGAGCGGGATTATCTATGATTCCAGTGAAAATAATCAATCATAGTATGTAGGCCTCTGATAGAAAAGCTAACAGGAAAACTGGAAAAGTCTCATGATGGAAGGCTAAAAGTGTCTTGGTTATGTTTGAAAATTGCATTTAATTAGTGATGGTAGATTGTTATAGTTTGGACTGTTGAGTACCATTTAGGGAGAGAGGTGTACAGTGAAATTTGGAAGCAAGAGAAGAAACCAAAACGAGCTGCTACACCAGTTACAAATTGACATTGTAACTCTGCTTGGTAGAGAGTTTTTGAGGAGTTCTTGACTCGAATTAGATTGATAAGATTCTGCAGTATATTACCCTTTGGTACTTTGCTTTTAGTGTTGCCAAGACAGTAAACTTCATTATGATGATGTACAACGTACTAATTTATAAATAAAATAAAAACAAAAACAATGTGTTAATTATTGAAAATAATTGAAAATATTGTATTTATTTTTAAATTGTGAATAATTCTTCTTTAGAAGACCGCATATTGCAGTTAAAAAATGCATTCAAACAACCCAATAATAGAGGTGGCCAATCGGTTACTAGTTAACCGACCTGTTGCAACCGAAATTATCGAAATCGGTCGGTATCCGAAGGATGGGTGAGATGCTTTTGGTCTTATGGGCAACTCGGTTAACAGAAAACCAAGATAATCGAAGCCTTAATCCCTCTTTCGGTCGGTGATCTGTAGGGTTGTGAGCAGCAGCGGATCCAGAATATAAGAGAGCACTGGGCCGCATTTGAATAGAATATTAGATACCATAAACAAAAATATATAATAATATAGTTTTCATAACAATGTCAATTGTACAAGAAAGTCTTTTAATTTAGCAAATTCATCAATAATATAATCTCCATTCATACTTATAATATACTCTTTTCAAAGAAAATAGCTAAGTAATCAACGTGAAATTCGTCGCTCATTTTGTTGCACAAATCAATGTTCATGTTCCATTGCTGAAAATATTCTCTCCATAGTAGTTGTTGAAACGGCTAGGTCAACACTAGACAAATCAACCGAGAAATCAATTTGTATTATGTGTCTATCCCTGTTTCCTCCAGCTTCTCTAATAATTTTGTAAGAGAAGAAACTTCATCTTCCTCACATGAGTAGTGCATTCTCCAAAGAATGCATCTCATAGCATTCAAAGTCTCGAGGCCAAACTCTTGAGCAAGTTTGTAAATATTTTCTTCATCAAAACACCAAAAAGAACGGTTAGAATCTAGTGCCCCACTCAATTGAGGCAATCTAAATGATGACTTAGGAAGTTTGTAAATATTTTCTCAATCAAAAGAATGGAAAGAAAACCAGCTCGACGGGTTGGCAGAGAAATCCATTTTGGGTATGCTCGTCTCCTCGTTCTTGTTTTCTTTTGGGGGGATTGAGAAATTTTTTGAATTTTTCAAGGAAGGGTGTGCTTTAGTTTAGAGTTTTTATTTTAATGAAACTTACACTTTTAGGTTTTTATGTCTTTATTCAAATAAAGTCATTGGGGCTATAAAAAATTTAGTATAAATTTAGAGTAATGGTTTGGATATGTTCATCTGAACTATTTTTCTAGTTGCACAAAATCCTATTATCAAATAAAACTAGACAGGATTTAAATAGCATTGGGCCAAATACCTAAATCGAAAAATTTTATAAGCACTAAACTAACTCTGGATCCGAAGGAGGGCTGGGCCGGGACCTGGGTTGGCCCAGCCCTGGATCCGCCACTGGTTGTGAGCTGGTTTGGTTAACCGATAACCGAACCTACCGACCCTCCACCCCTACCCAATAATAAAGTTTGCACTATATAAACTTCCAATATACCCAGTGGCGGAGGCAATGCACAATGAGATACCCATTTGGGAGAACAATCAATAAACATAGATATGATATTTAGTTATCAGTGAAATTTGAATCTTAATCTCATCAATGTTACCCAATATTTCTATAATCAAACTAAAATATAAATGACTTAATTTATATAAATTTTGCATAATATATACTATTTTCTGCAAAATAATATTAAAACCAAATAAAACTACACCCTTCAGGTCTTAGATCCTTTAATAGAATTCCTGCCGTTTTTAAAACCATGATCATAGAAAAAAAGCAACTCTACAAGTTTTGACGAATTAATAAAATCGTCAATGACTATTTTCTTATGAATAAATCGCAAATGACTATTTGATAGGATATAGTAAAATTGATATCATATGAATGTTGCTTACAAGTTTTTCGGAAAAATGTCTCAAATATTATCTTACGAGATTTTTTTTTTCAAATTTGGACCCACATTATATGAAATCTTGACTATAGGTGTCAAAACATAGCCCGACCCGATTAACCCGCCCGATCAACCCGACCCGCAACCCGACCGCAATCCGAATTGACTAAAAGTCAACGACTCGTAACCCGCCCGACCCGCAACCCGATTGACCCGCAACCCAACTAACCCGCAACCCGACAAACCGCAACCCGATTAACCTGAACCCGACTGACTCGCAACCCGATTAACCCGAACCCGATTGACCCGAACCCGACTAACCCGTAACCCGGCCGACTCAACCCGAATTTCATCTAATCCACTTGAATAATTATAAAAATATACAATACATAGTTTTTCAAAATAAAGTTTTTCATTCTAAACTTAAGTAAAATTATTTTTTCATTTCGTATAAGAAATTTTAAAAATATGAAACTCACTTGATATTACGTATTTTAAGAAAATTACAAAAATTGAAACATGAAGGTCACTTGAGATCATGTCAATATTAATATAATATATAAATTAAATTTTTTGTTAATTTAACTATTCAATAAAATTATCAATTAAATATAAATAAATTAAAGTAATGTATTTAATAATTTGATGTTTTTAAAAGAAGAGGGAAATTTTTGTGTATTCAAGTTTTTGGGAAGAGAAAGAAGAGGGAAATTTGGTTCTTTGAATTTTTTAGAAAAGAAACAAGTGGGAATTTTGGTGGTTTTGATATGTGGGAAAGTTTGATTCTTTTGATTATGAAAGAGAAATAAGGAGGGAAACTTTTGACTTTTCAACTTTTTGTAGAAGGAAAGAAGAGGATAATTTGGTTCTTTCAATTTTATGGAAGAGAAAGAGGAGGAAAAATTGAGTTTTTCTACTGTATGGAAGGAGAAAGAAGGAGGAAAATTTTAGTATTTTTGTGAAAAGAAAGAAGGAAACAAATTTGGTGTTTTCAATTTTTTGGTTTTTCATAATTTTAGCTTTTGAAACATGAATCTTTAACTTTTATATGGAGGGCATGACTAGTTAAAATTATTCTTATATGCTTTGAAGGCTAATATGTATATATGTATGTAATTTATTATGGGCTAATAAATAAATTAACCATTAGTTACAACAATTTATACTAAACTTGATAAGTAATCTTTGACGGTTCGTTGTTTAGGATATAAAGTATATGGTTAGAGTATAAGGTATAAGCTACATATGGTTTAGGGTGTATATGGCTAGGGTATAAGATATTGATGGTTTTGACGGTTCTAAGTTTTTTATTAACATATGTTCACTTGAAGTCATTTGAAGTCTTTAAGGGCAGGAGATCCCTTTTTAATTTATGCTTATGGTACGTGGTTAGGGTACAAGGTATGTGGTGTAAAGTATAGGATATATGGTTAGGGTATAACAATGAGCAAATATCACTTTTTATCTATGTTTTGAAAATCAAAGTATGAATTTCACTTTTAAATTAACTATACTAGCAAAATCACAACTCAAGGACATATGGTTAGGGTATAGGTTATGTGGTTAGTGTATAATGTATTGATGGTTTAGGCCTTAGGGTATACAATCAACAACATATACAAACTTAATATTGTTGATTGAGGGTAAAGCTAAGTGTATAGGATATATGCTATTGAGTAAGTTATGATTGAAGTCACAATAATTTTACTAAATTTGATAGCTAATCTTTAATGGTTCAATTTTTAGGATAATTCGAACAATTTTACAAATAACTCGTTTTGCAACAGTTTACTAAAGTTATTTGGGCAATGAGTTATTTTGAAATAACTCCTTTTATCACTATGCTTTTGCCAAATACCACACACCAAATACCAGATTTGCATGGTTATACTAAACGAGATACTTTAATCGAATTACTACTGAATTAATACTAAAATATCAAATAAACAATTAACGGTGTCTTTTGGTTGCAAATATTGATATCACCATTACTATTAGCTATAATACTTTACCAATTATGATTAATTACATAACAAGTTTGCAAGTCATACAAATTGATTTAACATTTTGACTAGTTTTTTTTCAAAAAAATAAAGTATATATATACGAGGTAGAAATAAATTGGTTAAAAGGTTGAGAAAATATTTTAAATTAGTGTAATAAAATGTGTAAGTTGGTAATGAGTAATGAGTTAAGTTACTTGATGCGATGGCCCAAACAACCCGAAACCCGACCAGCCCGCAACCCGCCCGACCCAAAACCCGATGAACCCGCAACCCGATTTGCCCGCAACCCGATTGAATCGAATCCCGATGAACCCACAACCCGACTAACCCGCAACCCGTTTGAACCCGATCCCGATGAACCCGCAACCCGACTAACCCGCAACCCGTTTGAACCCGAACCCGATTGAACCCAGCCCGAACCCGCCCGATTGACACCTATAATCTTGACTATATATGCTACTTGGCACAAAATAACACAAGCTAATAAAAGGGGGGAAAATCCCAAAATACTCTAATTATTAAAAAAAATTCCCAAAATACAGTACTTATGAAAATATTTCCCAAAATACAGCAGTTTGGGCATCACCGCTGCAAACCAAGACAGTGAAGGCAATCACCGTTTTTGACCAAAACGGTGATAGCATCACTGTTTTGGTTCAAAGCGATGATGCTATCACCGTTTTTGTCCAAAACGGTGATGCTATCATCGCTGTGGAGAACAACAGTGATTCCATCATCGCTTTTGTTAATGACGGGGATTAAATGACCGTTGATTTTCGACGCGATGAAGAGATCTTCACCGTTGAAATAAAAAGCGGCGAAGTGGCACGGATCGCTGACGTGGACGCGCGCGGGCACTTCACCTCTAATGACCAAAGCGGTGATGGCCCCGCTTTCCACGTCAGCGATCCGCCCCACCCGCGCCTTCACCGCTGCCGTTAGATGCAGTGAGGCGCGGATTGTGATTTTTCTCCACGATCCGACGCCTCACGCCGCGCCACGTCAGCAATCCAAGCCTTCACCGCGTTCATTTAACGCGGTGACTTCACTGCTTGCATCCGACGCGGTGATTGGTTCCTGGTGAGATTTCCAGCGCCCCTTTCCCCTATAAATACCACTCCCCCCTCATTCCAAACCACACCAAAATCTTATACTTCTTTCTCCCTCCTTTACTTTACTCTAGTTTCGTTCTAAGTATGCTCTGTGGTTGCGGCTAAGTCCGATCTTCCGCATCAGAAAGAATTACTAGAGTTTTTGTTTTGTCGATACTCTCGCTAGCTTTTCGGCAAAAAATGGACGAAGAGGCTTTGAGAGTACGTAAATTAATTTTATTCTTTTGTGATTTTTTTTACATGGGTGCTAAAATTTAAATTAATTTGATTTTATATTTTTTTATAGATGGTTGCTGAGATATACGACCCTCGATTGTATATCGATCCTAGCCCAAGGGATCAAAGGTATTTAACCGGGCAAGATCAACATCGCTCCCGTTCAATTTGGAACAATAATCCGGTAGACACACTAAAATTATATCAATAGTTTTAAAGTTTTTATTTTGCTTTCTATTGACTAACAATATTGTGTTTTTTGTGTTGTAGGAATCACTTATTCCCATCGCTCATCGAGGGACATGTCGATTGCCCCGTTGGCATGATCGACTGCAGCCCTATATAGAGAGGACGGGATTGCACATGCTGAGGCACTTTACGAGGCTTGATATTGACAACGATCTGCTGACGGTAATGGCAGAGCGATGGCGCCCCGAGCTGCATACCTTCCACTTTCCCGAGGGTGAAATGACGATCACCCTCAAAGATGTTGCCATCCTCATCGGGCTCCCGATCACTGGAGATGCCATCATCGACAGCTCGAAAAAACCGAAAGATGGTTGGGGGCCGTTGATTCAAGAGAGTTTGGGGTTCAACATGCCGACCACCACGCCCGTCGACGGGGTTAGGCATCCACCACTGAATGCGGGGCAAGTATCGATCCCGTGGCTTGTTGACCACATCCAAATGGAGGTTAATATAGGCCCGGACACTCCTGAAGATCAGGTGGAGCGGTATGCACGTGTCTACCTAATTGGTTTGGTTGGTGGTTTTCTGTTCCCCGACAAGTCAAACCGGTGGATACAAGGCATGTGGTTAAATATGCTCCTCGGTGACTGGGACGAGATCGGGAAAAAAAGTTGGGGGTCGTCCGTCTTGGCTGGGATCTACCGAGAGTTGTGTACTTGCTCGAGGTTGGGAGCGAAACAAGCTGGTGGTGCGATGTTCATACTCCAACTCTGGGCATGGGAGCATCTTCCTTTTTTAGCACCTCGAGACCCTCGGGAATTCTGGTTGCCAGATGATGAGCTACGATTTGTAGCAAATCCCCCATATGGTTTCAAGTAAGTTTAATTTAAGTTTAATTTATTTTAGATATGCAATGGTAGTATTTTAGTGAATTTAGATCTATTCCAAGTAAGCGAATTTAGTGAATTTTAGTGAATTTAGATCTATTCCAAGTAAGCGAATTTAGTGAATTTTAGTGAACTTAGATATCTTTCAAGTAAGCAAATTTAGTAACATTTTAGGTCTGCAATTATAGTATTTTAGTGAATTTAGATATCTTCCAAGTTAGCAAATTTAGATTTATTCTAACCAAATCGTATTTAGCTAATTTAGATTATTGCCAAGTAAGGAATTTAGTTCAATTTAGAAGCTTCCATACAATCATACTTAACAAGTAAACATCTATGCCATACTTATATACGTACTTTTGCTTAATTAGGTGGACCGGAGCAAATACAAATGACCACCAGCCTGAACACTCTTTGCTGTTTTATCGTGCTGAATTCGATAAGCCTTGGTGGAACCAGGTAAAAATATAAAATTTCATCATTTTCAATTTTTTAGGTGGAGTAGATATAATTTGTACTAATTCCATGAACTATAATGATTGTAGGCGGTATGAGATCCATATCCAAATGAAGTGGTTGAGTTGCATCGTCTTAGACATCCCGAGGATGAAGAGACATGGTTGTGCAAGGTGCCCTTAATCTGCTTCCACATGGTGGAATGGCACCTGCCCGATCGATCTTTGAGGCAATATCGATTGGAGCAACCAATTCCAGCATCCCCAGCTCAAGGGTTCAGGGAGCTCCACGCCATTGACCTACGCCACACCAAAAGGATTGGCAAAAGAAGCATGAATTCTACATCAACATATGGGATAATAGAAATCAGTGGGTGGCCCAAGGGTTGCCGGAGACAAGGCCAATGGGGTACCACGATGGCTACATGCGGTGGTGTCGAAATTTCACGCTAAGATGGGTGTCAAAGCAAGGTGCTGTTTGGGGCGCAGTGGTAAGTGAATTCCATTTTGGCCTCTTTGTCTAAATTTTTGGAAGTATGATTACATGCCTATATTAGTTAGAATGTTAATTAATTAGTTAATTTTTGGAAGTATGATTACATGCCTATGTTAGTTAATTTTGTACAACAATGTCTAAATTTTTGTATGATTACATGTCTAAATTTTTGGAAGTATGATTACATGTCTATATTAGTTAATTTTGTACAACAATGTCTAAATTTTTGTATGATTACATGTCTAAATTTTTGGAAGTATGATTACATGTCTAAATTTTTGGAAGTATGATTACATGCCTTTGTTAGATTTAAGGATGCCTCTTTGTCTTAATGTTAGTTAATTTTGTACAACAATTTATTAGGTTGACGGTTTGGAACATGCCAAGCACACTGTCGAGAGTGCACCCACCATGGATGAGCGGAAGACATCTTTTTTGCGCAGGCTTTTCAACAACCTGCTCTGTTGTACCCGAGAGCAAAGGAGGGATGTCATATTATACCCTCCAATGCCTGCACCGCCCCGACCTTCATTCCGTGCTGATGAGAGGATCGTGCCCCCACAAGAGCCCCCACGGAGGAGCAAAAGAAGGGTGAGAGAAAACATTGAAGAGCTTCGTCCATCTCAACAAACTCAACTTCCTGAACCATGGCCACATTGTGAGTGGGCAACTAGTACTGAGGGCACCGGAGGGTCGTCAAGCTATGCCCCGACTCAGGAACATGACATGTTCACCCAAGGCACCCCTCACTTCCACCATCAGCAACAAACTGCTCAGTATCAGACCCCGCTTTAACAACACACATCATCGACTTTCCAACACGCTTCTGGTTAATCTCAGCCATATCAACCCCCACCACCTGTCTACACTCTGGTGGGTGGTCGGGTTAAGAGGAATCCGCGAGTAGTTGTCCAGCGGGCTCATGAAGAAGGAGGAGGTAGAGAAGGCGGAAGAAGGGGTCGAGGAGGTCGTGGAGAAAGAGGAAGAGGAAGAGAAGGGGAAGTGGAGGGAAATGAAGACAACCAGTGAACTATCTATGTCGTCTTAATTATGTTTGGTCTTGTGTTGTTTTCCATGAACTATCTATGTCGTCTTAATTTGGTTTGAGATTGTGTTGTTTTCCATGAACTATCTATGTCGTCATAATTAATCTATTTATATCATAACATTTTTTCCAATAACAGCAATTCACTAAATACAGACATATAATTACTAACACATCAACATGTAAACAATACATAATTATAACATACCGAAGCCCGATCTATCATGAGAAAACTAAACAAATTCATCTAAATTCATAACTAATTAATTAACATCTATCATATCATAATTAATCTAAATATATCATAACATATTTTCCAATAACCGCAATTCACTAAATACAGACATATAAATTACTAACACATCAACATGTAAACATTACATAATTATAACATACCGAATCCCGACGAGTTTCTTGAGCAGTAAACCAACTCCAAACCAGCTGAGAAAACGACTAATAAAACACTAATTTTTGTACTAATTTTCTGTGAGGTAGCAATAGGGGAAGTGGAGGTCAGTATGTATAGGAAAATTATTTAGCAATCACCGCTTTGGACAAAAACAGTGATGTGTTCACCGCCATTGTCCTCAGCGGTGATTGCTTGGTAGCTGTGACCTAATTTCCACCAACCAGGGCTCTAAAACGTGTCAATTATCACCGTTTTGGTCCATGGCGATGATATGATCGCTTTTGTCAACAGCGATGATAAGGTCGACTATCACCGTTTTGCAAAAACGCGGGGAACTCATCACCGTTTTTGGTTAAAAGCGATGATGCTATCATCGCTTTGAACCAAAACAGTGCATCATCGCTTTTGACCAAAACGGTGATTGCATCACTGTTTTGGTTCAAAGCGATGATGCTATCACCGTTTTGGTAAAAAACGGTGATTGCCATCACTGTCTTGGTTTGCAGCGGTGATGTTCAAACTGCTGTATTTTGGAAAATAAGTTTATAAGTACTGTATTTTGGGAATTTTTTTTTAATAATTAGAGTATTTTGGGATTTTTTCCAATAAAAGGTTGATAACTTGATATCGACCACTATCCTCCATTCAAAAAATCATTCACTCATACTTTTCCCATTTCACATCAACAGCATGGTGAAATATTAGCTTGGCACCGTCTGATAAACAAGAACGACACAATATGCATGCAAGCAGATCTCATCTAGACAATACGATTCTAGAGTTTACGATTCTTGCATTTTCCATGACTTCATTATATATATAATACACACACATACCAATCATTTCTTCACACTCCAAAACATATATACTCTGCCCGTATACCTACCGATCCGAACGAGATGCCAGCGAAGTTGAAGATATTAGGAACGCAGCTGCCGATCTCCTTCTCCCTGAACCCGCAGCAAACGGTGAGCACCGTGAAGCAGCTGATCCGGACCCACTACTCCGTCCCCGTCGACAGGCAGACCCTCCGGCTTCACCACGGCGGCGGACAGCTCATGTCGGACGACAATACGCTGGAGTCCTACGGCATCACGGACGGCCAGCACGTGCACCGGCTTATACTGTCGGTGGAGCCCGGCCCGGACGTTCCCATCATTGTGTTTCTGCGATCTGGACAGCCGCAGTTCACCAGGTGGTGGGCCGAGATCAGCTGCAAGGAGACGACCACCTTGGCCCAGTTCAAGCGGCTTGTGGCGGACCAGCTGCGCTGGGCCGAGCCCGACGGGATGGCGATTTTCAGAGGTGGGCCCGGTGGGCGGATTGACGAGGAGGGGAATATGGGCCGCATCATCAGGGAGTTCTTGATTGTGCACGGGACCATTCTTTGGGTTGAGTTTAGCACTAATGTTCCCCAGAACGGAACCCGGCCGCCACAGCCACCAGCAGCAGCGGCCAATATGTGATGACTAGTATTATATGCTCTTTTGTTATATGTTTTTGATTCCTGTGGAGCCTTGATTATCTTGATTATTCTTGTTTTGTTACTACTATTGAATGTTGTATTGTCGTGATTGCTGTTTGATGTTAGCGATTGGGCCGATGAAATGTACGGCTGTGAGTGTGATCAACATATATAATATTTAATATTTTTCCTGATATTCACATTTTTTTGTTAGATATTCTTACAACAGTACTGAGTGATATTCCAATTAATGGATAACATCAACATAAAGAACTAGCTAGTGCATTTCAATAATTTGTTTGTCGAAAAACAACAAAAACATAATATTTTGATATTTTTCCTGATATTCACATTTTTTCGTTAGATATTCTTACATCAGTACTGAGTGATATTTCAATTAATGGATAACATCAACATAAAGAACTAGCTAGTGCATTTCAATAATTTGTTTGTCGACAAACAAATTATTGAAATGCACTAGCTAGTTCTTTATGTTGATGTTATCCATTAATTGGAATCACTCAGTACTGTTGTAAGAATATCTAACGAAAAAATGTGAATATCAAGAAAAATATCAAAATATATATACGGGTAGCTTATTTGTCAGAACATGCAATGATCAAGAAGCATGCATCACGTTGATCCAAAAAACTGTTTTGAAATTAATGTTAGTTGTTTGGCTGTAAGAACATCAACACCTAAAAAGAAAAAAGAAAAAAAAAAGCGAGGCGCTCTCGCCTCTGTCCTCTGTTGGTGCTCGTTGCTCGGGAAATGGCTCACATGGGCCGCCGCTGCAATTTTCGCCGCAAGCTGGAGAAATCAAAGGGAAACGGGCTAGTGCCTGAAGAAAAACCGGGGATTGTTCAAACCCCCACCCAAGATTAGAAACGAAGCCAGCCCTATCGAGCTCCAGTCGCCGGAAAAAATCCTGGGAAGGGTGGAATGGCACAGCTGTCGGCGCCGTCACCAAAAGAAACGTCGGCGGCTGTCGATTGCAGTTGAAGGACCGGATGAAAGCCCTCTTAAGCGGAGGCGAGCTCAACCGAAGAAGCAATGGTGGTTCTGGCTCCCCCACTCGTTGGAGTTGGAAGGGGAGGAACCTGCTCGAGTCCCGTTTGCGGGTAAAATGTCACCGAACCCAGGTAGTTGGGTTGAACAACATGCTCCGATTGCAGACCTAGGTCAGATGTTGGCAGTCGGGGTAGGGATTGATCCCTTGAATTCTTACTTGGGGTGCTCTCAGAGGGTTCATTTGCCTGTGGGAAGAGCTACCCCCGATGCGATGTCGGTGAAGACGAAGTCGCCATCCCAAGAATCGTCCACCGCCGCAGATGTGAAAATTGATGGACCGGCGGCCGTCGAGCCCTGGACCCAGTTGTCGTGGAGGCGAAAAACGCGGGGGATTACAATCGTATCGTATCCCAGGTCCCCTCTGCTGGTAAGCGAGATTCTCGGGACGAATCTCCGCGAAAATCGAATTACCACGCGGATAAGGTTTCCGAGTCCCATTCAAATTCGAACTCCTAACCGCCCTTTGGAATCACGATTCCACCTGGGAACTTTAGAATTTCCTCCCTATAAAACCCACAGACAGAAACCAAATCGGCCATCAACAAACAATCGGAATTGGACGCTTTTCCCAGAAACTGACCTGGTGTCGAAGTCCATAAAACAGGGGTTTGCCTCCGAGTTCGATTTAGGTAAGCGTTGCTCTTCTTATGTCTGTGGTGTGCAGGGTGGAGTCCCTGACCTCGGGAGCGGCCTATCCCCGCCGGTGAGATCTGTGTGTTCGCTGCATGAAAGCCCGGAGGGATCGCCCCCGGCGGCGGGGGATGAGAGGGAACCGCGGGTTTTCTCCTCTGCTGTGGAGGGGAAGCCAGCCCTCGGGCTTGTTCGGCCCACTGTGTCTGTGTTACCCCTGGCGAACGGTGATGGGGGATTGGGCCTAGGAGGATTGCCTGCCCCCTTGGGGCTTGCTGGGCCGAAACCAGCCTTCGGGCTCCATAGAAGATTTTGGGCCGGGCCGGTGGGTTGGGCCGCTCCCATGGGGACGGTTGGGCCAGCAGAGGCCTTAGGGCCTGATCCAACTGGCTCACTTAAACCCTTGTCCATTGGTTTAATTCCCAAGTCCATTAAGCCTTTGGGCTTGCTGATGTCGAGCCCATTGGGGAAAATAACCAATTGTGATGCAACTAATGATTTACTTGTCTACGATTGTCAGGTGAATATGGCGTCGCGAATTGCTGAGGATCAAGTAGTGGAGTTCTCATTGGAGGATGTTCAATCGGTGAGGTTTCGAACCTCTAGGACCCTTCTGGGAAGGCTCTTTTCGGAGGCCAAATTCTCTACTGCGGAGCTGAAAGAGGGTCTTGTTGAAGCATGGCGTGTCAAAGGAAACCTTAGGGTTACACTCACAAAATTTGGCTTATTTGAAGTGGTGCTGCCAAGTGACGAAACAAGGGTGTGGGTTCTGAAACGGAAGCCCTGGATTGTCAAAGACAGGATCTTCCATCTCCGGTCCTGGACACCAGCCATCTCCAGGAACATATTCGATGAGTTAGCCTTTGCCCCTTTTCGGGTCCAACTCTGGAATGTGAAGGATGACTGCTGCACGAAGCAGTTTGGCCAGAAAATGGCAGCAGGGAAGATTGGTCAGGTCTTGGAGGCAGATGTCTTCGCGTCCAAGGAGACGGAGGAGCTCTTTGTCAAAGTGCATGTGCTCATTAATTTTGCAAAGCCTCTGCGATCCCAAATCATGGCAGTAAGCGAGGAGCTTGGCGAGTTCTGGGTCAATCTCAAATATGAGTTCCTTCCAACCGTCTGTTTCCATTGAGGGCGCGTGGGCCACTCCAAGTGTGACTGTGTTTTTGACCCCCCTCTGGGGAAAGAACGCTTTGGGCCTCACATGTCAACCAGGAAGCTTGGGCGGAAGATATACATGGAGGAGGAGGACAGTTCAAGGTTTCGGGATACAAGTAAGTCAGTGTGGATCAACAGGAATGTCCACCGGCAAAATGATGAGAATGCAAGGGATACAAAGGGGCGAGTGGAGGAGGGGCCGCGGGTGCCCTCTACGAATATTCAGGCTCAATGGGTGCTCCATAGTCGGTCCACAGACCCAGCAGGGCAAGATAGCATGAAGACTCAGCCTAGGCTGCGAGATCCAGTCAGCCAGAGGGCTGGAAACCATACTAGCCCAAAAAGGTTTAGCGTTAAGAAATCTCTACGAGTGAAGGTTGGGGGCGGGGTGAGGCAAGCTCAGAAGAAGCGGTCACCCAAGAGGATTACCAATCCTGCGACCTAGGCAGCTAAAGGCCACCAGCAGCCTAGTAGGCGCATGAAGCAGGCCCCCCTCCCACAGATGGAGACTGATCCGGTGGAGATAGTTCTTGAGCAATCCCGAAGGCGCAGGCTGATTCTGCAGGATGAATCGGAAGAGGAGGAGAACATGATCCCTGAGCCTATTTTGAAGAAGGCTACCCTTAAGACTGTGGCCAAGAAAGGGGGCATGGCATCTCGGGGTCGTCTGCGGTTGAGAAAAGGGGGAGCTAGCTCCCCACAGACGGTGTCTGCTCAGATTGAAGAGGATACTCCAGCGGATGCAGTACGTGATCTGGAGGATAAGGAGGCTGGGGATAGCTTTGATAACCCCAAAGAGGTGACACACCATCAGGTAGATGACTTTGATGAGGATCAATCGCTGGAGGAAGTCCATTCTTTTGAAATCAAACGCAGGTCACCCACTAGTGCTTCCAGGAAGACCGCTCATGTTATGAAAGGCCACGTTCATCAAGTGGTGGAAGCATTTGAGGCTGAGCTTAGCATTGGCCAAGTGGAGACTCCCTCGTGGAAGGCGGCAAGCTTGGGTCTGAATGAGTATGGGTCTAATATGAAGGATCCAATCATGGAGAATCGGAAGCGAGAGATTGAGGAGGTGGAGGTGGACGTGGGGGACCCTCCGACTCCGAAGAGACAATTTGTGGAATCTGTGGATGCCCAGGAAAAGGTGGAGGAAGCCAGCCTTGAGTGGCCCCCAGTGGATAAATGAGGCTTCTGGCCTGGAATGTGAGAGGAATTGGGCCATCCCTCACCTTCCATTCTGCTTTAGGGCTTGTTCATTCTAATAAGCCGAATTTGGTGTTTTTCTCAGAAACACGGTCGAGCCGGCGTGTAGTTGCCCGCCGTATGCGGGGTTTAGGTTTTGAGAATTCTCATTGTTTTTTTGTGGATGCAGTCGATGCATCGGAAGGGTTAGTTGTAGCTTGGGCCCCCGGGGTTAACACTTCGGTGTTTTGTTCTTCCAATTTTTATATTTGTTCGCAAATTAATGAAGGTGATTTTTCGTATTTGGTGTTTTTTGTTTATATTAGTTGTAATTTTGCTGTTCGTGATAGCCAGTTGGCTCATTTGCGGGAAGTGTGTGGGAGTATTCACCAACCATTCGTGATCATTGGTGATTTCAACGTCACCCTCCATGAAGGGGAAAAAGACGGGGGTCGGGCTTGGAATGCGGCTCAAGCCAACAGCCTGCGGGAGTTTGTCCATGAGTTGGGACTCCATGACCCAGGATACCAAGGGGATTAGTTTACCTGGACCAATAAGAGAATGGGGGAGGCGTGCATTCGTGAGCGGTTGGATAGGGCCCTTTGCTCCCAAGCATGGATGGATATGTTTCCGGAGACATTGGTCAAACATTTTACGGATCAGGGGTCCGATCATCGTGCCCTCCTTCTCGCTGATAAACCTTATACTCGAAGTAGTCGACCTCTTTTCCGGTTTGATGCTCGGTGGGCGGAAAACCCAGAGGTTAGGGCTATGGTCCAGTATGTCTAGCAAGAGGAATTGCAAGGTACCCCCATGTTTCGTCTTTGGGAGCGCCTAAAGAAACTCTTACACCTGCTGTATGATTGGAGTAGGGCGGGCACCACTAACTCCTTGCGGAATATTAAGACCCTCCAGGCTGAGATTGACCGAGTCAAGTCCATCCATCCGGTAGATTGGGATGCGGTACGATCCCTGGAATTGGAGCTATCTCGTCAATGGGATGCAGAGGAGTTATACTAGCAGCAGAAGTCAAGGGTCAGATGGCTAAAGAGGGGAGACCAAAACTCAGCGTATTTCCACACAGTTACGCGTGCTCGTCGGGAAAGGAATTTTGTCGTTGGGCTCAGGGATGATGAGGGTGAATGGATTACAGAGGAGAGCGGAAAGGCTAGGATTGCTACCAGCTTTTACCAGTGTCTTTTTACCTCGGAATCCCAGGTG